CCATCTCTGGATCTTATCAAGAACCTTGAGACAAACAGAAGGGGCTCCAGACCATATATGGCAGCAATACTTCATGCAAGGGCGAATGGTTGATTTGTAGATTTGAAGGATCGACTCCAGTGAGAAAAATTTCCTGGCGCAGCACAGGGAGCCAACTTTCCTTGCCGTGGACAAAGCAATTGACTCAATGTATTTGTTCCATCTCAGGTCAGCAGTCAACGTGAGACCTAGCAGCTGCAGAGAGGTGCTCTCAAGAATTTGAGCATCAGACATTCTAATGGGGGGCAGGGAAGGATCTCTGTGATGATTAATAGAGAGTAGTTTTGTTTTGGAGGTGTTAAACTTAACCAGCCAATTCCTGCCCCAGTGGAGGTCCATTTCAAGACGCATAGCCAGTTTAGTTTTGTCAGCGACACTAGATTTGTTTTTGAGGCAGGAGTAAATTGTAGTGTCATCCACGTAGATGCCTACTTAGAAATCTATAACGTCAGGAAGATCATTGATGAAAATAAGGAACAGAGTAGGGCCTAGGATGGAGCCTTGAGGAACACCTGCATTCGTGTTCTGAAATTCCATAACCCCGAAGCTTGCAATGATTGTTGTCTGAAATTAAAAATAAATTGATGAGAAATTATCCTCAAAATGACCTCACTGATCATCTAACTGTTCCTTTGAAATCTTAGATTACTATTTAGCAACTCAAGACTTTCAATCCAGCCTCATTTCAGCTCAGCTAGTCTCGGCTACCAAGCACTCAAATATATCAGTTATAGTTAACTGATTACTTTTCTATTGTTCTTGCGCCTCAATAATGCTTCTGTTTTCTGATTCTCTCACACCCAGTAACCCTCTGTGTCTTAGTCTGTATGTTTAATTTTTATTACAATTCTAACCACTGTTTTTAAAACAACAAACATTGTCAAGGATTGAAGGTAATTAAATCAAATGCTAACTCTCTAGTCAGCGGGAGATGGTCCTTGACGTAAACTCCAAGGCCATGCTTGTGGGTTTGAGTGTCTTTTCGATCGAGGGATTGAGAGGTCAGAGGAGGGGATAGATGAATCAAGGTTGGTCTCACACAGAGCCAGTATATCTGGGCAGTTCGCAGTGAGGAAAGATTCCACACTAAAGAAATTGGTTCTAATGCCACGGATGTTGGAAAATGAAATGTTAAAGGGTTTAGGTGATTTGTTAAGGGCTGGTTTAGGTTTTCTTTTTGGATCATTGTTAGTTATCATGTGAAATTGTGGTTGTAAAGATGAGAAGGCCTGAAGTAAAAGAAGCAGACGGTTATCGATCATGAAGTGGTTAGAGAGAATTTGGTACAGCCTGCAACATAATGTGGCCTCAGGGTTGCCCACCGGAGGTGAATGCAGGGACATCTTTCCATGCATGACACAACATTACAGACACCCTGATATTATGCAACTGTTGATCAGAGCGGCCGCTCAAGACACTTTGCAAGAGTTAGGATCCCTAACTACCAGTCGGAAACAGCAACCAGAAAACTGTCAACCATGTACCCTCAGAATGAAGAGGTAATGCCACAGACTATACACATCATGAGAGAAACATGGCAGCACTAGTACAGAGGCCAGAGAGAAACAGAGGGAGAGTTCTGGGAACCCTTCTTAAACAAGAAACAAGGTGTGAGCTTCTACTCTTGTCCAAGAGGAGGGGGGGAGTACTGACCAGACGGTAGGAAAGCCTACCTACTCCTATTACATATAACACAAGCAACAACAAGAACAACACCAAAAAAAAAAGGAGAAAAAAAGAAAGGCAACAGCTGACAAGGAGACCAAGCTGACACCAGAAGACGTATTTACTGAGAGATAGGACTGGGATGTTATTTATATTTTTCCCCTTCCATTACATTAAGTTTTAACTTAGTATAAGTCCCATTGTTCTATCCTAAAAACAAATTTGGTTATACAACATTGTGGATATGTCATATGATTATACTTAGATATGGCAGTTAGTGATCATATTCGCCAGCTTCCATTCTCATGGTCACTTAGTAAATAGTTAACCAAGCTCTTTCTTTCAAAGAACATAGAAGGAAGAGATTCTTGATAAAATCCAAAGAAGAATCTGCAATGTTATTTGTCCTGACCTGGCATCTTAGGTTCAGTCATTTTCCCACCGCTGTAAGGTTGCCTCTCTGTGTCTTTTTTATAAATACTTTCATGGCAATTGTTCTAATGAACTTTCTGTTATAGCACCTAGACTTTATGAATTTAAGCACAGTACTAGATTGGTAGCAAGGCCACATAATTTTACACTTGAAATGGCCAGATGTAATCATTAGTTCTATGCTAAGTTTCTTTTATTGCACTTCTCACATGTGGAACTTTCTTCCCAGGTCTTGGTTCCAGTTCAAGTTTCATCTTCAAAAATTTAAATGCAATGTCAACCATTATCTTCTGTCTTATTAATTCTTATTCTTTTATTGTCCTCCCTCTTCCACCTACTATAAGTTTAGTAGGAGAGAAGGTTCAGGGAACAGTGTACAGTGAATGGATTGAACGCTAGTTCATTCGATACACTCTTTCTAGCCGTGTACTTAACCATTTACTTGGTTACAACACTCTAACAGTAAACTTTTGCATCATAGTGTCTTTATTGGGGCGAAATGATTAAAAAAAATTTTTAATAATCTATGCAAATAAAATATTTATCTGCATTTAGACAAAATTAGTTCCGAAAATGCTAGCAAAATGAACAGTTTAATCATTACATTTCTTAGATTTCAGTTTTATTTGTTCAAGCCTTTCATGTGAGGCACTCAGATAAATTTGTCTATTAAGTGATTGTCTTGCTTCAACTTGGTCCTGTAATAGGCTTTATCATCGCTGTCTTTGTCATTTTGTTGCTAATCATTTTCTTCCGAGAGATATTTCCATTTCACTTTTTTATTAAGCACATTAAATTTTTAACATGAAAAGATATTGATCAAAAAGTGATTTATATAATACCAGGAGTAATCAATCTTATATACAATTGAACATCTAAAAAATATAAAGGGAATGGATTAATTAAACGGTTCATTAACCTTTATTTTAGTTACAAATTCTTTATCTCCACTTCATTGGATTTCAATACATTGTTTCAAGATTTTTGTTTCATTGCATTTCACTATTAAACATTTCTAACAACTGCCATCCTTTTTGATTGCATAGGTACACTAGTATTTACAGAAAAGGAAACTGCATCACAGTGGTGAGAAAGTGATATGTCCCGGAAAGGGATATATTTGTTTGAAGTAGCAAAATGGTTTGGGACTACTGTAACTGAGTAGGACAATCTAGCAGGTAATCATAATGGACTGGTCCTCGTCGTAGTGGTAGGCAATAGGTGAAGACAATAGACGTCGTCTTGTACCTCCACATCAGTCTGTATTTATGGCTGACACCAGCCAATCATATTACTGTGTGGGGGAACCCAGGTGTATGCATATTCATTACATCACCTCCCCTGATCTAAATTTTCCCATGAAATTTAGCTTCAATATTTTCTCTTTTTAGGGTCTGATCACATGATCAATGGACAATGATGTACAGAATTCCTTGAATTCTCTTCTTGTAAACTGCGTTCCATTGTTGCTGACTAAAGTTTTATGGAGTCCAAAGTGACTAAAAGAAAGTGACTGAAACTGAGATATCAGGCCAGGACTGATAACATTATAGACCTTTCTAATATATATAGCAGGAGTATCAGACCAGATATAGCAACAGTATTCAATGTATGGATAAATAGTAGATTCATCACTAGAAATTACTCTTGAAAAATCAATTTTCATGTACTTCTTCACCTAACTTATATACTTCACTTTGTGATGTTAACTTAAGTGTGGTAATTTGTTGCATTCATCTCTATAGGCAATCTTAATATCCTGCATCTTTTTTTTTATCTCTTTATGTTTACAACACCTGATTCTTCAAATATTTTCTTGTTAATCAATTCACTTTACTTGCTTCTTATTGATCTTGCCTATGTTTTCAGTTACTTTTTTGATTGTTCAACTTTTTCATAATTTCCAGTGTTGCTCCTGTCGCTCAATAACTTTGCAATATCTTGTTTCTTTTATGAGATTATATATTTCACACAGCCCATGGCAATCTTTACCTTATCTGAAATTATAAACAGATATCAGTAACTATATCATCATATATATTTATTTATAATATGATGAACAATCTTTGAGTTGCATAATAAAATCTAACACATGTGATATCCATCCCCTTCGAGGAGGCAGTAATGGATAGTGGCTTGAATTAAGGAATCAGAGAGCTGAGTTCGAATTCCAGTTAAATCCATTATGTTCACTTACATGCTAATATCCTTGGGAAAGGTATGAGTCCTCTTCTTCTCCCCCCAGCTATGGGTAAATAGCAGGACAGACCAGGTTCTATAGACTTGGATGACAACTGGTCGACTGTAGAAAGAAACGGCAACCTACTGCAGGAAAAAAATCTGCCTCGTCAGTCATGTATCGAAAGATACATGATCACCTAAGCGTGTATCACACATGGCACATAACTGATTGAAATGATGAACAATCTGCCCAGGAATGAGGAGAAAACTAGAGGCAGCAGAAATATGGTCCTATAGAAGAATACTAAAATTTCCAGTGCCAGTTAGCAACAACAAAATCTTAAAGAAAATAGCAATAGAAAGAACACTTATACTCAAAATCTAGAAAAGACTGCTGAAATTCCTTGGATATACATTTTTACAGCTTATCAACCATTTGCTGGTTATTTAAAAGCAGAAAATATTTTTAGATTGTAAGAATTTTTAGTGGGTAGGGGAGATAATGGTTTAGTGATACAAGTCTTAGTAATTAACCCATAGCTTGTGGGGAGAAGAGGTAGATTCGTACCTTTCCCAAGGCTGTTTGCACGTAAGTGAATATAACGAACCCAACTGGAATTGGAACTCTGCTCTTCAATTAACAGTTCTGTGCCATTATCCAGTACACCACATGCGCATCCAAGCTTACAGCACCTTGTATTCCCAAGTGGTCACCTATCTAGGTACTGATCAGGCTCAACATTGCTTAACTCAGTGATCAGATGGGAACTGGTTTTTCAACATGATGTGGCTGTAAGATTAGGATACATAACGAGAAAGGAGGGCTCTGAAAATTTAATGAGGCATATAGAGGCCAAGAGCAGTAGGGAAGGCAGTGAGCCACTTACCTGATCAGCTTGAGGGAATGGATGGCAGAATGGTAAGGGTGAGAGCTTTAACAAAAGGAGAAAAATTGCTAAGGGTCAAAAGGGGTAAGATATTGTGATCACCTATGTCCTGAAGGAATGTAGCACAGAAGAAGAAATATTTTCAATAAAAGATAAGCCAAAATTTACATGGTATATGAAGTGACATTGAAGTTATTAATCCCAGTAGAATTTAAGAGTGACTTATTCCATTAAAAAATAAAATTCAGATGTTTAAACTTTAATGTTGAATCGTACAGCTTTTTTTACTTCTCTAATCACTACCCAGAATGCATCTCTCATTTGTGTAAGTACTTTTGGTAGATAACTAAATATCTACTTAAACACCTCCATTTGTTTTCTTTCAGATAACAAGATACATAAAATAAAAAAAAAAAATCAACTTTTTTTAGGCATTTTCCAACTTGAAGGTCATGGGAGTTTAACATAACTCAAATTGAATGCTAACCTCAAATTGTCCTTGGCACGTTGGAAGTTTAAAAAAAAAATATGCCATTCATAATTATGTTCCAGAAATTATCTTCTGTAATTCTGATCATCAAAATGTATTCTCTTTGTTCTTATTGATAAGGGCATATTCTTTAGCTTGTTACTTGGGAGTAATGAGTAGATATATACATGTATATGTCAGTCTATAGAAGTGTGTGGACAGGGATATATAAATTTACACAGATATCTATATATGTATGTGTGCATATCTTCATGCCTGCATTTGTGTTGGTATGTGCTGAAATCAATGTATTTGTGCCTACATACTTTTGTATAAAGGTGTGTATAAGTAAAGTAGGATCTCAGAATAAAATCCAATTTTACAATCAAGTCTTCTAATGAGTGAATGTAATCTCCATGAAACTCAAGAGGGGGCATAAGATAAGTTAATGGTTAATTGTATTTATTATTATTAATGAAATTTCAACTATCTCTTTCTGATGTTAAGCATATATGTCCTTTTTGTTGCCATATAACTTCATCAATGCTCACACATTCAGTCCATAGCATTCTCAGCATCCTCCTGTAGAGCAACATTTCTGTTACTTTAAGTATCTACTTCTTCTATGAGCATGGCATTCACTGCTATATAGAAGGACTGTTATGACATAATAGTTCAGTACTATTTACTTTGATTCGAACAAATTTTTTCTGTTTCTTAATACTTTACTTAGCTTTTAGAAGGCATCTTTCATTATCCCAATGTGCCTTCAGATTTTGGTGTCACATTTTCCATCCTTTGTTAAATATGCCTCAGATATTTAAATTGTTGTACTTGCTTAATTTTTGTAATTTGTCTATTGGACTGATCCTTTTGCTAACAACCATGCATTCTATTTTCATGCAATTACTGTTTAGTCCTTTCTTCTTGCTTTCCTTTATTAACTTCTGTGGGAGTTATTGTAGTTTATTTTCTATTTCAGCTATCAACATCTGCATATCTTATATTGTTAAAGTTGTGGTTGCCAATAATGAATCCTGGTAGGAATTCTAATTCTCTCAGAATCACCTCAGTGTATAGGTTGAATAAATCCAATGAGAAATTTATGATCAAAGATATATGGCTCTCCACTCTACTACATCTGAATTTTCATAAGGTAGTATTCATATAAAATACAAATTTTATTGTAAATTGCAATATAGATGAACTTGAAAAATAGGAAGTAAATACAATGTATCTAAATATAAATTAAAGACCTGTCATAATAGATTATTCCATCTTAAATAAATCAATTATATTTTGTGGCAATTTTTAACATCAACTTGAGATTTTTCATTGTTAAATGTTGAATAATTCTAACACATTCAATATTATGATAAAAAATAGTGAATTTTTATATAGTGTTTTTTCAATACTTAGCATGAGCAAAACAAATTCACAGATTTGAACAAAAAAAAGAACCCAGAATTATGTCAAAATCCACAAAAAATTTTCATCCTTTAATAGTCAGTTATTCTTAATTTAATTTGTAATCTATATAAATGTAGGTAGAAAAAAGCAAATGTTGATAAGGAGGGTCACAAAGCAGTACTTGGGGCTCCCAATCAGACTTGCCCCCCTCAGTCAGTGCAGGTTCAGGTGTAATATGTACCAGCCCCGTTACACCCCTTTCAATTTTTATATATTTACTGAACTCATTTTCTATCCCTTTTCGGGTGATTTGGTGCCATATATGTTCTGGATTATTCCTTTTCAAATATGTCAAGGTTACCTTGAAGTTCCAACAGTTCTTTGTGATGTACTTTAATAAACATTTTTGCATAATCTATAAAACACACACATAGTGGAGGTCTAAGAAAACATAGTTATATTAAACATTTGAGATCTACTTTGTCAACCCTCTTATTAAAAGTGCGACTATTCAGTTGAAAGAAGAAATGTCCAAGCAAAATGTTTAAAAAAATAAACACTTTCAATTGAATACAAAAAAAATTCCTTTCTCACCTTACACTGTTTTCTATAATGTCTTTCTCCTCATGACAATGATCACAATACCCAAATCCAGAGCACCTAGCATTTGTGCCGCCCGAGTTGGTCTTCAAACAACCTTTCAAAATTGGATGTCTACAAAATATAAAAAAAGATTAAAATGACAACCATTTATTTTGTTTTGATTGCAGACAAGAAAAAAAATAAATGACAACAAGAATATAAGAAAATGGAAAAACATTTAAAAATAATTATAAAAAAAGTATTTTTAATAAATAACAGCTTTTAGGATAAAATGATTTTATTACATTAACAATATAGCCATTATGAAAGAAATTTCCTAACAGTATATTATCATTTTATTTGGTCATGCTAACTCAGACATTCATGAGTCTATTACACCAACCATCACAGTCCTGCATCAAGGTCCAAAGGTCATTAGGGTGGCATCCTATGTAATAACATAGCTGGTCAATATAGGTGATTGCTCGGTGACCAACCCATCTTGCTCCATGACTAGGTTAGCAGAGCAGTAGAATACTTGTGAGTTCTTGTTTTGCTCACCAGCAGTGTCCTGTAAAGCGCATTCTGTGATCGTGTAAAATTATAGAAATATCAAGAATGGGTCCATAGAGCTGTGATTTAGTTGGATGTTGTCTCCAAGAGATGTTAAGTATATCTCTCAGCATCTGAGTGTAGGTTCCATCAAACTTAAACTCTAGGTTTTAGTTAATGTCTAGGCAGTAGCCTCATACACCACCTCTATAGTGTCTTGAAAGACTCTACACTTGAGGTTGTCTTGTAGATCAGATTTCCAGATTAAATTGATTTTATTCAAGGAGGCCAAGACTTTAGCTTGGCACAGTGTTTGAAAAAAAAATCGACCATAATAACCAAACAAAACTTCTTGTATGCAAAAAATCTACATTAATTTCAACCTTCAATGTATACACACTAACAGTAACTCATAGTGTAACATTCTAAAGTAAACGTTCTGTGTAATGCTTAACCCTAAAGTGAGGTTTGGTAGAATTAGCACTAGTGGAATGAGAAGCAAAAAATAGCACAACTAAATTTGTATACTACTTCATTATACTAATTCACCTAAATGCCCCCCACCACCACCACTTAAGATCAGAAGCCACAAGAGCCATGGTGTAAAATACAAAAAAAAAGAATACCTAAATATAAAACACTGTATAAGCAACATAATCAACTACAAAAAATAAATATTATAAACATGCCTTAATTATTATTTACATTTTTGATAGCCAGACTAATATCTTCATCTTTGTTATTAACACATTTTGGCCTTGATGTTGCTTTTCTAAGCATAGCACAAGACTGAATCTATGGAGTACTGTGAGGAACTCACTCACTATTCATTCATGATTGTTTTAGGAATCTGTTGACCTAAATAATATTCAGGAAATTTAAAATTGAAACATTTTTTTTACCTATAGGTGCAGAGGTTGTTCTTATTAAGGTGTCCATGTCTCAAAAATATCTGATTATGTTCTCTTGATAGACAGCAGAATGAGAACAATCTACCCAAACCATAGATTTTTAAAAAAGTGTTCAATTTGAAATTCACTAAAGATTATCCAGATACTTGAAGAAGCCCTGAAAGTACAAGAGATAGATAGCTAGATTGATAGATACAAACTGACTGAGATAGATAGATAGATAGATAGATAGATAGCTAGATTGATAGATACAAACTGACTGAGATAGATAGATAGATAGATAGATAGATAGATAGATAGATAGATAGATAGATAGATAGATAGATAGATTGATAGATACAAACTGACTGAGATAGATAGATAGATAGATAGATTGATAGATACAAACTGACTGAGATAGATAGATAGATAGATAGATAGATAGATACAAACTGACTGAGATAGATAGATAGATAGATAGATAGATAGATAGATAATTAACTGACTGAGATAGATAGATTGGTTTTGACAATAACAACAGAGATGAAGAAATTAGTGCAGTTGTAATTTATATAAATAACGATAACTCCTTAATCAGAAATTCTGATAGAATATGTCTTATTTTATATATAATACCTTGGCTGGATAATGGAGACTTATCCATTTGATTATAACTCTCCCAGTTCAGTCTCTGATATTTGAATTGTTTTTCTGCAACAGAAGGTAGTGAAGAAAAGCAAGAAGAAATGACTAAATATCAATTAAAGATAGAATGTATAGGTGTTATTAACAGAAGGAACAGTCCACAATGCAAATTTCAAATTGGAGACAGTAAAATCAAACAAGTGCAGCAATTTAAATATCTGGGGAGTGTTTTAACAGGGGGCAGAAAATGTGGCACTAAAATCTGAAGCCACATTGGGATAGTGAAAGTTGCCTTCCAAACGCTAAGCAAAGTATTAAGAAATAGAAAAATATAATAAAAAACAAAGAAAAGGGTATTGC